AAAACCGAGGTTACGAAGAGGCGAATATAGCTAGCGATAAGAGAGTCAAGTGCTACGTCTGTGATGGTGACCACTATGCGAGTGCATGCCCAGAGAAGCTTTGCCAGAGGTGCGGAAAAAAGGGGCACAACGCGAAAAACTGCCCATCGAGAACTGAAACTGCAGTCGCCGCGATTGAAGTTGGAGTCGGTGGTGTAGAGTTGGACGTCGCATACGAAGCACTCTGATGTTGTCTAGATCTGTTTTCCCAGCGGTGCATCAACGCCCGTTCGCTTTCGTGCCTTGCGTGCAATTCGGCTCGTCGGCATTTCCCCATCAAGAGCCGATTTTGATGATACGACTGACGAAAGTACAAAGGGGAATTTTTTCTGGCCTGTTACTTTTCCGCCGTTCGCTCGTTGTTTTTTTTTCTTGTGTGATCGATCGGGATACGAACGCAGTCCACGAAACTCGATGTTGCCTGTCCGGTATACCATGCGCATCTCAGTAACTAACCGCGTAGGTTGAGCCATGATGAGGCTTATTGCACGATGAAATACTGAGGATGGTGTGGCATTCCGTTGTCGTCTCACTTTGAGGAATGGTGATCCGCAGGGCACTGCGGTCACACCAATTTGATTGATGATGTTCGGAATTATTTTGCCTGAAATCAGGGAGGGCTGATGAATGACGCCTTCTTCCGTGATAGATGGCTACCAGCGTCTCTCATATTAGCAGGTACCAGCAGGCTGGTTGATGAACTGTTTGTGATTGATATGCTGCTTCGATCGTCCTCTGATGTGTAGGCTGAGAGGGGGCACCCTCCCCTAACATGTGGTTGATTGCCCTTTTATATGATCTTTCATTGATGTACAGACCGAGGGGGGCACCCCTCACTGTCATGTGATCGACAATGGTGATCGGGGTTGGTTGCAGACGCGCCCCGTTGCTAACAGCAGCTGGATACAGCAGTAGGGATCCTGTTGCTGGGAGGGGAGTTACTTGTGAAGGAGTAGCAAAAAATGTCTAGGTCCAGTGTCTCTCGAAGCGGGGTACCGTTGTGGTTGAGATACTGCTTGATCTTCCTCTTGGTTGATCGCCCTCTATAAAAATGTCATTTAGCGATGTAGCGTTAGGTTTTACGTTTTTCCGCTGCAATTTGGCATTGGTGCTTGTGGCCTTAGGCGCGCCGCGGTGCTGACAGCAACTCGATACAGTAGGGATCCTGTTGGCTGGGAGGGGACTACTTGAAAAGGGGTAGTACAAATGCCTGACAGTTGTAGACGTGTAGGTTTGCAACTTTGTGACTGCTGTGTTGATTGTGTTGACAGTTCAATCAGCAGGATGACCCGTGGGGGCGGAGGGTTTTGATCCGGTGGCCGGGTTTCCCTTCGTTTGTTTTATTTTTGTTTCTTTTTGGAGTTTTCTATGAGTACCCTGAGCGCTTTGGTTTTGAGAGCATTCGTTATGATGTACAGAATCAGGGAGGGTGTTCGTGAGGTGGATTATGCCATCCTTACGAAGGCTATTGCGGTAGTACTCATGTGTGGTTTTGAGCTATGCAGGTGCGCAAGTGCGTGACCGTCCATCGGTCATTTGGATCTTCGGGGTATCTCCGGTAGTAGGATCTTTGGCAAGTTGTCGCGCATTCCTTGGTGTCATGTATTCCGAGTTCCGAATGCGTCTTGTGACTGTTGCTCGCGTGCCTCGGTGTTTGTGATGCACCTGGGTGCCCACTCTCTTCCGTTGCTTGTGTCTACGAGGACGACCAATAAAAAGACTTAACCATCTCTTCACATTGTCAAACGGGACAGCCGTGCTCATCCAGCAGCACTCGGCTTGGGGCCAATCAACATAAGATAGTACAGGGCTTTCATCTTCTTGCCGACTTGACCGGCCTTTTCACCGAGGCTCACACCGAGCTCGGTCGAAACCATGGCAATCGATGTTTCATCGCCGCGCACCGTGGCGTGACACTCGGGCGTCGGCGCTGACGTCCCCGGGTCCGTAGGCGCGGCTGGGGTAGCGACGACCAAGGGTTGACGGGTTCCGTTGTTATGCGTATCACCCGAAGCACGCCTAAAGGCACGGTGCTGATTGTCAAAGATGCGATCACTCAACTCGATTTCCCCCCTGGAGTCCAGGGGGTGGATCTTCTCGAAAGCTTCCTTCATGGCCATGACCAGCGACACCTCAGCTTTCACCAGCGATACCTCGTTGTTCGCACGGTGAAGATTCACCTGAAACGTCTCTTGGTCGACGTGACGCTGCACTTGGGATGACACGTAGGCCTGGTATTGTTCTTCAGTAGCAAGTTCCTTGATCTCCGGACCGATGCGAGCCCTCTTCGCGGGCGATCCGTCAGGTTCACCGCCCACGAAGCGTTGAAAGGCCCTTCCCTCCTCAGAGCCCTGTAGGCGAGCACACCTAGACTCGATCTCCTCGCAGATAGAGGTGTCCCCCGAGAGAACGCGACAGATAGTTTCGGCCGACTGGCGGCGGAATTCCTTGGCGGCCCTCGCGGGAAGGAGCCATATGATTTCGGTGATGGTTTTGGCGTCGCTCACGGGGGTGGTGCGCCCTTTTCCGTTGATCTGGATGTAGTCCACGCGTTCCGCGATTGAGTAGGTCGGATCCCCCTGATCCGACTCGTGTTGTTCGTCTTGATCGTTGGCTATCACTCGGCTGAGGGCTGTTTTCGCGTAGTCTCCCGTTGCGCCGGGGCACAGAAGCTTAATCACATCAATAATCGAGCCTTTACCGGAGGCCTCGTCGACGTGGATGGATCCGACAATTCCGATTGTCCTCAGCGACTTCTCAAGCACAGACGCCTTGGTTTCGGGTTCTTTGGGTTCTTCATCGGCACCGTCGGGATCACCACCAGAAATGCCAGTACGAACTTGCTCGACACGATCGGCGAGAGAGCGTTTGAACGTCTCCCCCGATTCTTGCCTCCACGAAGCCCATTTCTTCCCGGGCAGGTTGTCTAGGATATAGTTGCACGTGGCTAGATCGCAACCACGGTGGACTTCTGATTGACCGAGCGCTTGGTTATCGCCGGGACGCTTGTGACGTCTTTTAGGACGCCGTTGACGCTCCGCAGGATAGATCCGGGGTGTGCTTCGGGGTTGGCACACTGGACCATGCTTGACACTCCGATATCACCAGACGCCGGGTCCACTACGATGTTGTCCATCTATTTCACATGGCCCCCTGCAACAACGGCCACATTGATCGAACACACACTCTAACGCAGCAGGATTCCCACACCGACACACACGAGGGACACTCCCAGAATGTTCGTCCAAGCGTTTGTCCTCCTTCCTCATCAGTTGCGTCTCCCGCTGCTCCTTGATGTGATCTTCAGTCACTTCTCTCCATGTTGCCCCGGGTGTGAACATGACTCTTTTCGTTACCGCGTCGACTGCTTGCTGGTAGTGCACCTTGGCTTTCAGTATAGCGCATGCCGCCGTGTACAACTCGACGTCTACAATGTCGCCCCCGAAATAGCGACACACTTCATCAATTCGCGGGTGCTTGTCTTCCATTAAATCTAGCCCCCACCTCTCGAAACATTCTTCCATGTCACGCCTCAGTAGCCTCTGTCGCTTCGTTCGAGCGTGGAAATGGGGTGCTAAGATTAGCGCCACGCGCTCGGGCCGCATTACAAATAGATACTTCCCTATCCAGCAGTTTTTGGAGTCGTGTAATTTGGCCAGTACTCGGCCAAAGGGTAGCTTCAGGAGTCGTGCTACCTCGTTACAAAGATAAACCCGCTGACCGGACAGTTGGCGGACGCGAAGGCCGTACAATTGCCCTGTGAAAACGGGCTTCAGATGCATCAACACCAACCGATCCACCTCGTCCAGAAAGGACAGGATCCTGTTACCCTCGGAATTGGCAAACTTTTCGAACAAGTGCTTTTCATGCTGGACACCTTCCACCAGGCTCGCTGCATCTGAAGTGAGCCTCTTGTTGGTGACCGCCCACTCGAACACTACAACTTTCCAGGGAACTGGAACCCCAGACAGCTTGTTCCACAGCGCCCTTCTGATCAGGAGGCTTCTCACTCCAATCTTCGGGGTCTTACTCCCGACCGAACAAAAATCCCCCGCAACCAGGCCAGGAGTGGGTACCATATCATCGAAAGCCTGCATTCGTTTTGCGAAGCATGCCAGCCGAGATTCTTTCACAGCCTGCTGCTTCGCCTCCGATAGGGCCCTCTTGTGATCACCTTCTTCTTTTTTTCGACGCCTAAGGTCGGCTGCGTTCTTCACAAGCACATCCACCTCCTCACGAATGAAGAGCTGCATGTCTGCCCCGTTTCTGTAATGGGGATTTGGCGCGTAGAGCCTACGGATGCTGTATAAATCAGACAGGCTTGCCCCTGCTGAGAGGGCATCAGTCTTGGTGACAAGGTCACTTGAGGTAGCGCACTGTTGACACACGATAGTCAGGGGGACTCCATGATGGTGCTGGCTGTAAAACTCGCAGGAGCAAATGCTGCAGATCATGGTTGCTGTTTTTGGGACTGGAGTACTGTCGCCGTGTCCACTGGTCTAACCTGAACTGTCAACAATGTCACTGAAAAAAACGGCGCATCCTCGTCTCCCCTACGATACTTACAGTACGCGACTCCGACCGTGACTCCATCTATCATTTGCGGCACGAGAAAAAAAGCTCCCACCGTGACTGCTACCGTGACTTCGCCAACCATTTCGGCGAAAAGATTCCTATTCTGCTCCGCGAAATGACTCCTCCGCGAAATGCCATAAAGTATTCAGGGGGCTTCGGCGCGAAGGTTGCCTCCGGATATTGCACAGGTGGGGGCCAAAAACAGAACACCGAAAAAATGCCATAAAATATTCAGTGGGCTTCGACGTGGATTTCTCAATGGTGGTGACGTCTAGGGGACCGAAGCAACCCAGAAGTCCCAAGTAGCGGATCAGATTTCCCTGGTAACCTACTACACCGGTTTGTTGAATCTGCCAGCCACTTCAGTTTTTTTACAACTGAAAAAAATGACTCCTAGGCCGACTCCGCCAGTAACTTCAATCAAGTTCAACAAAAAAATGACTCCTAGGCCGACTCCGCCAGCAACTTCAATCAATTTCAACTGCAAAAAAATGACTCCTCCGCCGACTCCTCTAGCCACTTCAGTTTTGTTGGACCTGAAAAAAATGACTCCTAGGCCGACTCCTCTAGCCACTTCAGTTTTATTGGACCTGAAAAAAATGACTCCTCCGCCGACTCCTCTAGCCACTTCCGTTTTGTTGGACCTGAAAAAAATGAGTCCTAGGCCGACTCCTCTAGCAACTTCAATAAAGTTCAACTGCAAACAAATGACTCCTAGGCCGACTCCGCCAGCAACTTCAATCAAGTTCAACTGCAAACAAATGACTCCTCCGCCGACTCCTCTAGCCACTTCAGTTTTGTTGGACCTGAAAAAAATGAGTCCTAGGCCGACTCCGCCAGCAACTTCAATCAAGTTCAACTGCAAACAAATGACTCCTCCGCCGACTCCTCTAGCCACTTCAGTTTTGTTGGACCTGAAAAAAATGAGTCCTAGGCCGACTCCGCCAGCAACTTCAATCAAGTTCAACTGCAAACAAATAATTCCTCCGCCGACTCCTCTAGCCACTTCAGTTTTATTGGACCTGAAAAAAATGACTCCTCCGCCGACTCCTCTAGCCACTTCAGTTTTGTTGGACCTGAAAAAAATGACTCCTCCGCCGACTCCTCTAGCCACTTCAGTTTTGTTGGACCTGAAAAAAATGTCTCCTAGGCCGACTCCTCTAGCCACTTCAGTTTTATTGGACCTGCAAAAAAATGACTCCTCCGCCGACTCCTCTAGCCACTTCAGTTTTGTTGGACCTGAAAAAAATGACTCTTCCGCCGACTACGCCAGCAACAAAATGACTCCTCTGCCGACTCTGCCAGCAACCATTTAAAAAAGTCTTTGACCATGTGCTTGGTGAGTTTGATGAGAATTCTTTTTGATCTACAGGTACTGGCGACGGTATCTGCACACGGCCCCCTGCAGCAACGGTCACACTGATCGAATACACACCCCAGCGCAACAGCATTCCCACACCCACACACACGAGGGAGACTTCCTAAACACCACCGCTGACTTTCACCCTGACTTCTAGTCATTGACCGCGCCGCTGGTTTCTACCCTGACTTCTTATAGTTGACGTCACCACTGACTTCTAATCATTGACTCGCCGGTGACTCCTAGTAGTTGACACCACCGCTGACTACCACCCTGACTTGTAATAATTGACCCCGCCGCTGGCTTCCACCCTGACTTCTAATAATTGACACCGCCGCTGATTCTACCCTGACTTCTTATAGTTGACGTCACCACTGACTTCTAATCATTGACCCGCCGGTGACTCCTAGTAGTTGACACCACCGCTGACTACCACCCTGACCTCTAAAAATTGACCCCGCCGCTGGCTTCCACCCTGACTTCTAAGAATTGACCCCACCCCTGACTTCTAATAGTTGACCCCGCCGGTGACTCCTAACGCGACTCCTACCATTGCTCCACCTACCATTGAAATGACTCCTACCGTGACATGTACGGTGACTTCTACCGTGACACCGTGTATCATTTTCGGCACCAGCAAAATACTCCTACCGTGACTCCCACCGTGACTCCTCCTACCGATTTCGGCCCAGGACTCGACCGTGACTTCGCCTGAAACGACTCCCACCGTGACTCCGCTTATCATTGTCGGCCCGAAAAAAAAAGTTTAGATATAACCGAGACTCCGACGTGCCTGACGCGGAGGTCGCCTCCGGATTGCACAGGTCTGGCTTTGGTATCGAGTCAAGGGGACTCAAGCAATCCAAAAGTCCCAAGTAGCGGATCAGAAATCCCCGGTAACCTACTACACCGGTTCGTTGAATCTGCCAGCCACTTCAGTTTTTTTGAAGTAAAAAAATGACTCGTCCGCAGACTTCTACTGTAACTTCAGCTTTTTCCACAAAAAATCGACTCCTCCGCCGAATTCTGCCGACCACCTCAGTTTTTTTGGAGAAAAAACAGTGATTTCTCCGCTGAGTCTGACGGCTACGTCAGTTTCTGTTCAGCTTTTTCCCATGAAAATAAAATGACTCCTCCGCAGACTTCTACTTTAAGTTAAGCTTTTTTCCACGAAAAAAAGTGAATCCTCCGCAAACCTTGTGACAAGACATGCTAAGGAAAGTTCCGTTATGACGAGAGGGTCACGAAAATACCTTTGCTTACGCGTAAATCGGTAAACTCGTGGAGAACGGTGGGGTACAGTAGTACTGACCTTTCACAGGAAGGCGGCAAACAGACTGCGTGAGTGAAACATAGGAAAACAAAAAAGAAAAGTATAGCGCCCCGAGAAAGAGGCATAGCACAACGTCGTGCGTTGAACACAGGCTGTGGATGGGTGTTCTCAGCAACTTTGCGGGAAAAAATCATGGAGATAGCTCATCCTGGCGGTCCTAGGGGGGTGAATGCCATGGTTCGGATTGGGGGGTGTTATCTTTCGAAAATTCTGGGGGGTGTCATCGAAGCCATCAGCAAGCCGAAAATTGAGTTTGGCGCACACAGCGCACCAAAGGGTATGAGAATCGAAACATAGACTCACTCAATACATCTATGCGTCGGGGTGCAGCGGGGAGGGGCAGAGGTAAGGCCACACGGACGAGATTCAGGCTCACGGAACGAGCGAAAGGCCTCAGCGCAGCAGCTCGTACGAAAACGATCAAATCCTCTCACCGCTCGTAGAAGCCACCTTCACCCGCGAAATCTTCGTCATCCACTCGCACAGGTCTTCACTGCCCTCTCCGACTGTCTCTGTCCTCGCACTTGCCTTCCTTCCCCTCCAACTCGGCGTAGTTGTGTGAACAACGCCGCGGCTGTAGTCACGGTGCCCCCAACTCCGCAGGGGTACTTAGAAGAATTTTTAAGCGGCCCCCTTTTGAGCCCAGAAATCCGTTGAGAGTAGGGGCATCATGGTATCCTGCTGGAAGTGGCCCTGCAGTTGTCGGTTTGAGACGCTTCAGAAATGCCAGTTCTTCCTCACATATCCAGTCACAAAAAAATATTGGGCACGACACACGAGAAAAATGCCAGCACAAGAAAAGCCCACCTCAAAATCACAAGTCGAGCTAGTTCTTCACGAGGAAGAACGGCAGAAAGCTATCCAAGACATCCTTCAGTCTTGGGAAAAGGTAAAGGCACTCGCCACGGACACCGAAAACATACGAGTACTTCAGGCTGTGAAGAACAGGCTGGACCAAGCAGTTGAGTCGGGGAATGTGCAGGACATATTGGACAGGCAGAAGATCGCCAACAGAGAGGCAGTGAAAAGATACTACGAGAAAAACAAGGCACAAATCATCGCCAAGCGAGCTAGCAAGAGACGAAAAGCACGCGAGGCGGACGTACGTACAAGTGAAGCACCCGCTGGAATACAGCACGTTTGAAACCCTGGTCTCCTACTGAGCCCGTCTACCCGCTGGAGTACACGTTTTACCCAACTGCCACATGTCACCACTACCACTGCCGAATGGTGTTTTGTGTTCGGGCGGGAGAAAGGGAGTACGCTCTCATTTCTGAACTGCAGGTAGTAACGAACGGTAGTGAGCAGCGAGTTATCACAGACTACACGGGGAGAAAAATACAGAACGCAACGTACGCGGATTTTGCAGTAATGCACGTATCATGAAAGTTTTTTTTTTTGTGTTTGTTGTTTTCGCCATTGCCGATTTGCGCAAATTCTGGGTATACATGTAGGCAGCGGAAGTACGCAAGAGACGAGAACGCCACGTAGGTAGGGGCGTCAGGAGAAAAAACAACAAAGAAGCACCTTTTGGCAATATCCTCAATGAACTAGCCAAAACATATACATTCTGGACGTCAAAGATTTGGTTCAAGCCACACGTTTGTCGGTCACTCTCGTTATTGTTGTCACAAAGAAACACTATGCGCTTCTTACGCATAGCAACATACAGGGACGGCAAGCACCATCCTCTTTGGATTGGCCCGAAACACTTGTTTGGATCGACGAAAAGGAGGTCTGCAAGGCCGTTTCGCGATGTCCTTTTCAGTACTCAGAGGGGTCGGTGCGCATACTGTGAGAGACCGATCGAGATACTTCCATCGGCGAATTGTGATTGTGATCACATCATTCCAGTAAAGGTTGGTGGGCCCACTAAGAGGTCCAATGTCCACCTACTGTGCGTACAGTGCCACCGCACAAAATCGTCCATGGAGAGAAGAATAGTTGAGGAAGACATTGCAGTCCTGCCCGAACTGTGTGAAGACAATAGGCTGTACGTGTGTGATGGCACAGCTGACCAGAAATGCCGTCACGAGGAGCTCTCACCCGGTGATCTACGACATTTGAGAGGACTTCACTTCCTGAACATCAGCCTTGGGACGAAAGATAAGGACGTTCGAGTAAAGCTGGAAAAACGGCGAAAGGACTGGAGCGAAACAGAGGATCTGTACTTCATGACGGAAATGGACACGCTGGGGGCATCTGAGGATATTGTACGAGACGTGAAGAGGGCTTGCGTCGGCGGGAAAGCCACGCCGAGAGAGTTCGCTTTTCTCAGAAAACATGCGGCACAGAAATACTTTCTTCACAGAATCAGTGGAGAAGAAGTGCAGTACTTCGAAAAACATCAGCGGCGGATCATGAACAGTTGTTTCTTCAAGAGATTCAACGAGGTCACAAGGAAAAAACTACTTTCGAACATGGTGTCACTTGGAGGAGACCAGGGTGTGAAGGTAAACGACATCTTGGCTGGAGAGATGCTTGTAGAAATATTGACACTTCTGGGTTTCAAAGGAATGCAGGATTTCACGACAACTGTTGTGTGGCACGATCTATCGCAAAATACTCTAACGAGGTATGAGTCGATGGTCGATGAAGTCCACAGCTTGCGGCTCAGCGTTCGAATTCGAACTCAAACGAACGACAAGAGAGCGATGTTGGTGGCGTACCTAAAGAAGATACTGCATCTCTACCAACGGGGTGGCACGCACAGGAAGTATCGCCTCCAAAGCTTGATCCCAAAACAATTTGCAACGGCTAGGATGTACGATGATGGCTGGTTGAGGGCTCACTGTAGTCGTTTCGATAAGTTTGAAGGGAAAGCCGACGGCCGAGAGTATGCCGCCCTGAGTACGGTGTAGGGTTTGTGGGTTTCACCACTACCCACAGGTGTATTTGGGCCCACTTTTTTTTCTTTTGCCTCGGGTAAAGAGCGCCACTCTCATTGAAGCAAAATGGAGATCAATGGTTGGTGGGACGAAAGCTATCCTTCGGATGTTGTTCGTGGTTTGCTGAATGCAGGTTTCTGGCATTGGAAACGTTTGATTTTACCCGTAGATGCTTCCAACGACGAAGTAGGCGTCCTTGTCCAAGACGCCATCAAGGCAAGCGCTGGAAGTAGGCTGAAAGCCTTCATCACGTGCGGCAAGGGTTCTCACGCGAAGTTCCAGGAGTATTTGCGTTCAGAGGTTGAGAAAGAGGTCGGGCGAGCATACATAAATCCTGGAACAGTCTTTTCCGGTCACCACGTCATTTGGGACGGGGTAGTGCGTAAGATTGAGCCTTGGAGACGCCTCGGCGTGGAGTGGTGGACAAACTACTTTAGTAGACAGAACATGGACAAGTCGTGTGCGATTTGTTGGGAATCGGAGTTTAGCTGGTGGCAAAAAGTTTTTTGTGACTACTGTACGGCCATGCTTTGTTCGCGATGCAACAAAGAGGATGCAGGTTGCCCGGTATGTAAATCCGAGAAGAGTTTCGGCGAAGACTGTAGGCACCCCGCGTGCTTGGATGAGAGAGTACCGTATTGGAGGAATTTGGAAAGGCAGTACCAGCGAAGGGACGCGCTCGAGAAACGGGTCAAGGAGAGAGAAGCTAGACGAGAAGCTAGACTGAGGGAACGT